TACTTAGTCAATCTTTCCTTCATGTGCATGTGTTCCACAAGTTCACTTCTTCCTTTTGTCGAGTTCAAACATATGTTGATGTTCTGGTTCTTACTTAGTCAACCTTTCCTTCATGTGCATGAGTTCCATTAGTTCACTTCTTCCGTTTGTCAAGTTAATTCATGTGTTGATGTTCCGGTTCTTACTTAGTCAATCTTTCCTTCATGTGCATGTGCTCCGTTAGTTCACTTCTTCCGTTCGTCAAGTTCAATCATGTGTTGATGCTCCGGTTCTTACTTAGTCAATCTTTCCTTCATGTGCATGTGTAACACTAGTTCACTTCTTCCTTTTGTCAAGTTCAAGCATNTCATGTGTTGATGCTCCGGTTCTTACTTAGTCAATCTTTCCTTCATGTGCATGTGTAACACTAGTTCACTTCTTCCTTTTGTCAAGTTCAAGCATATGTTGATATTCCGGTTCTTACTTAGTCAATCTTTTCTTCATGTGCATGTGTTCCACAAGTTCACTTCTTCCTTTTGTCGAGTTCAAACATATGTTGATGTTCCGGTTCTTACTTAGTCGACCTTTCCTTCATGTGCATGTGTTTCATTAACTCACTTCTTCCGTTTGTCAAGTTCAATCATGTGTTGATGTTCCGGTTCTTACTTAGTCAATCTTTCCTTCGTATGCATATGTTCTACTAAGTTCACTTTTTCCTTTTTGTCAAGATCAATTATGTGTTGATGTTCCGGTTCTTACTTAGTCAACCTCTCCTTCACATGCATATGTTCCATTAGTTCACTTCTTCCTTTTGTTGAGTTCAAACATGTGTTTATGTTCCGGTTCTTACTTAGTCAATCTTTCCTTCATATGCATGTGTACGACTAGGTCACTTCTACACTTTTGTCAAAGTTCAAGCATGAGTAGATGTTCCGGTTCTGACTTTAGTTGCTCTTTCTCTAAGGGATGGGTGACCGACATTGGGCTGCTATTACGGGGTGATGACTTGATTAGGACTAAAGGACTCTTGCCTTCTCTCTTTCTCTCTCTCTATCTTTCCTTCCTTCTCTCGCTCTCCCCTTAACCCTTTCCCTTCCCTCTCTTCTCCCCTCTTTCTCCCTCTCTCCTTTCCCTCCTTGCCTTTTTTTTTTTTCTCTCTCTCTCTTCTCCTCTCTCTCACTTGCATCATCATCTGACGCTCTCTCTCCCTTCCCCTCACTTAGCATGTGACTAACCCTTCTCCCCCCTCACTTGGAAAACATTGCCAGGGCACGAGCGGAAAACGAAATCAGACCTCACTTGGTGGAGAAAAGGGGGGGGGTAGCCGGTCCCTTGTGCCACCAAGAAGGCAAGAGAGAGGACGTCCAAAAAAGTAAGTGGAAGAAGCGGAATCCGGAAGAAAGCATAAGTTGAAAGTGAGGTCAGTTTGACTCAACCATCTCCCTGACTGCATGACTTTGAGAAGAGAATGGGCTGATTGAACAACAAGAGGGAACAATGAGCAGCCAAAGGAGTTGAAAGAATAGGCATGTGGGAAGGGCTATGATCTCTCAGGTTTCGGGTATTCTCAGTCTCATTCATGACTCAGTTGGATTAGGCTCCTAGGGAAGGAGTGTTCTTCACGCCCTTTAATCCATAAGTTCCCTAACCTCTCTTGTACTCGACCAGTCATTCAATGCCATGGTTTGCTCGTCAATCCGTACTCAAGGTTTTCCTCTCTCAAAAGCATAGTCCTTGTTTCATCCAAAATTCACAATACGCCCTCTCCCAATTGGTCTCATCCTAAATCCCATGTCTTTGTCTTAGGTACCCGAGGTAGCTAATCCAAACGTAGTCTCAACAACTATCTTCTACTTTAGCGTGACACAGCCTTGGCTGACCCTCTTTTCACTTCCTCCTTAGCAAGCTTGCTCATATTATACACGTTCTCGTCATTCTCATATCTTTGCAGACAGAAAGCAGCGATCCTTTTCAATGCTAAGCCAACACCTAGTTCCTATTACTGCCTTGCGCCTCGTCTCGCCTAGTTCCTTGTCCACTCCGTTCCTCGGCAGGCTTCTTAACCCCCTGGCCGTAGGTCTCAATCTCTTTTTTCATCCTTACAATTTTATGCAACGCAGCCTCGTTGAAAAAATTCAGTGGTGTGGCTTCCAACCCTACCCTTGCGAGTGCTCGAGTCTTGATAATCCATTCGTGTCTGATTACATTGGTCCATTGTTGAAACCAGTGACTGGGCGTTGGTCCGAACTCGTCCTCCCATCTGAAAGCCCCATCGCCTGGCTGGTGCATCGAAGGCCGCCCCTCTTCCCTAGGCCTTGAGATTTCATCCCTCTCATCCCCGCTGTTGATTTCTATGACTTCTCGCACATCCTCCTCCTCGTTCCCCTCGTCTTCAGTCTGTATGGGGTTATACCCACCAGCAAAGTTCTTCGGATCGTAGGTAAAATGGATCTCTGTCCCCGTATCATACCCCTCGCAACTGCCATGACCGCTTCGTCCTTCAAGCGGGCTCTCCTTTTTCTCCTCGTCCTCCTCACGTTCGTCACGCATACCTTGTCCCCCCTCGCTTTCCCCATGCCAAGTCTCACGTCGTTCGCCCCTATTGGCCTCTTCCTCGTTAGAGACCCGAGCCTTATCTCCCATTTCTGTGTTGCCTCCTTCTTCCACATTTACCCTTCTCTTTTCGCCCTAACTGTCAAATGATATTTCTATACCTTCTCCCTTGCGGAGGGGTGAGGGTTTCTTACTCAAACATTTCCTTCCACCCCTGCCTACCACTGGCCCGCCCATGAGCCCAATGTACAATTTTTCTCTTCGCTGTCCTCCTCCCTTGGCTTGGTTCAGCTTTTTCCCCTCCTCTAGGCCTGTTGATTGCCCCGCTGTCGTTCTCGTTGCTGAATTTCATTCTCATTTTACTCATAAGTCCTGTATAACAAAACAACATCCGCAATGTCCCTCATACACTTACGCCTCCCCCCCTCCTTAGGCCGGTAGACATTCCCAAAATGCACCCAATATCCCTCGCATCACGCCCTTTTTATACATGCGAATGCGTCGTTCGTGATGACCCCATATTTTTCCCGTCAAAAACTATGGTACAATGCCCCAAACATCCCTTCTCGTTGTCTCACAAGCCAGATATTGCAACCCCCAAGTCATGCTACCTTTCAACCTCAGTCAGTCCAAGCCAAAGCACCAGTCCCAAAAAAATGACAGTCCCACGAACATGGTCAGAGACAAACCATAGTGTGGGCAAGGCTATGGTTAGTCTTTAGCTTGTGGCTCTTCTGTTTCCTTATCTTCGGCCTCCTGAAGCCATTGTTACACTGGGTCCCGACTTAGAAACCTGACTAGTCGTTGCCCTGGGAAAGGCCCTTTCAATCCAGTTCCATCCAAATCTTCCAATTCGAAGGTGTTCAGTCTCACCCGCTCGGCGACCCGGTAGGGAACTTTGGACCTCCTTCCCAACTGTCCCGACCAAGTACTTTCTAGTGCCGAGTTCCTTAGTAGTATCATCTCCCCCACCTGAAGTGGCTCCTTTCTGACATTCTTGACCTATTCCCATCTTGCTTTGTCCCTCATTCTGCTGTCCATCACCCGGCTGGCGATGTCTTTCATGACCTCCTCATTCTTAAGGATCTGTTGACATCTTGCCTCGATTAACTCTTCAGTGGTCATTTGTGGATCATTATCTAACCTATTCCAGGTAGGTACCAAGGCTTCCACAGGAAAGTCGATCTCTCTTCCGTACCAAAGCTCTGCCAGGATACATCCTGTTGTCCTTTTAGGAGTCATATTCTCTGCAAAAACAGTCTGCTTAAGATACCTAGGCCAGTTCCCCAGATGGTCTGCTGCGAGCTTTACAATCGTGTTCTTCAAGGTTCGGTGCCCCCTTTCCACCGGCGCATTGGCCTCAGGGTGATACGGCTCGATGAGTTTGATCGGTACGCAAAGTCTCTTAAGCATCCCCAATACTTCTTGGTTCACAAAGTCCGTCCCATTGTCTGCTATAAACCTCTTGACGAACGGGTGTCTTAAGTAGAAGTCTTCTATCCAGTCCGCCACACTCCTCCCTGTCTTTTTCTTGAGGGCGATTGCCTTCACGAACCCACTCAAGTTGTCTCGCGCATCTAGGATATACCTGTATCCATCCGTTGATACAGGCATGACCCCAAGGTCGAGGTGGACCAGATGTCCCGGCCCTAGCACCCGCGTTGATATAAGCGGCTCGAAGACTCGTACCGAGCTTCGTTCTTGGCAAATAAGGCAAGTCTGGCAGTATATGGCGACCATGCCTGCTATGCCTGGCCAATAATAGAGCAGCGTTATCTTTGCAAGTGTTCCTTTGGAAGATCGATGTCCTCCCGCTAACCCGTCGTGCATTGCCTGGATAACGTCTACTTGCCTAGACCTTCCACACACAACCCTTCTCGGCATAGCACCTTCCTCCCTCCGGAACAAATGCCCGCCCCTTAGGACGTACCTTTCGACTTCTTCTCTTACCTTAATACTGACTTTCGTAGGTTGTTTGTTTCCTACCAACAACAAGCCGATCTTCCGGAAGAGCCCTTCGTATGATTGAACATAGAAAAATTACTCTCCTTCCTTGCCCCCATCCTTTCCTTCCTGCATCTGATTTACCACCCATTGCAATTTTTTCGTTTCCCAAGATTTCACTAAGCTCATCACTGCTTCCCGGCCCCCTTCGACCGCCATTGCTATCAGCTCCTCCTTCGGTCCTACTATCGCTCCCCATGAGTCCTTTTCTTCTTTGCGTTCTCGAGTGGTAACTGGACCTTCCCTAAGTTCAGCTACTACGGCAGGTGCCCCCTTCTGCAAAGTCTGGATCAATAGTTCTCCCGATGTGCATCCCTCGCTCATCATTTCGTTATCCACCGCAAGAGTTCCTCCTTCGTATTCGAGGAAGACGTCTATGGGCTCTGCATCCTCCATCCCTTCGGGAGTGATGCAAACCCGACTCAGCCCATCTGCCTTTTTGCGGATTCCAGCAATCCGTTCGATCTTGTAATCGAACTGCCAGATGAATCCTACCCATCTCCCTACCGTCGGATCTGTAGGCCTGCAATTCTTTAGGGTCCCTGCGACATTCGTCGGATCGATCCTTAAGATGAACCGCCTCCCAAATAGGTAGGCCTGGAAGGTCTTAAGGCAATGCAGGATGGCTAGGACTTCCTTCTTGAATTGCGAGTACCGCCGTTCTGCGGAGTTCAGGGTTCTACTTTCGAACCTAATCGGCCTCTCTTTTCCTCCCTCATCCCTTTGAATCAACACACCTCCTACGGCCAAAGGTCCTCCATCCGTTTCTAGGATGAAGGGTCGTCCCACTTCGTCATTAAAACAAAGCGAGGACAGGGCGATTGTCTCAGATGTCAGTATGTCCTTGAGCCTTTGGACAACCCCTTCTCGCTCCTCCGTCCAATCCATGGTTCCTTCTTCCCTTATCATAGCCCGGATAGGCTTCAGCAATCTTGGCAAAGTTCTTAATGAAGATCCTCCAAAAGCCGACTACGCCTAGGAATGCCCTTACCTCCGTCGTCGTGCGCAGTGGCGTCGGCCACTGTGATATCTTGTCGGTCTTTGCCGGATCCGGCTTCCTGCCGTAAGCACCGCAACGAAATCCTAGTATAGTCACCTCCGGTATTGTTAGGATACTCTTTGGTCCACTAGCCGTAATGTTGTATACTAGGAACCGGCGGAGTAAGTCCTTAATGTCCTGCAGGTGGTCCCACACAAAACGTCGGATCCCTGGCTGAACTTCCGTCTCATCCTTTTCCTGCGCGCCTTTGATCAGACTGTCATCGATGTAAGGTTCACATTTTTCTGGGAACATGTCCCCGGCCACGGCGAGCATCCTGCGTTGCGCTTCGGCCACCGCGTTTGTGAATCCCATAGGTGTCACCTGCATCTGTAGCTAACCTACGGGGGTGTGCATAGCGGTGTATGGCCTGTCCCGAACATCCAATGGAAGTTGGTCGTACCCTTAGTACAGATCTATCAGGGAGTAAATGCTCCGACCGGCGTGCGATTCTGCTTATAAGTCAGCCTTAGGTAGCGAGCTAGCATCCCGGATGGTTACCGCATGCAACTTCTGCAGGTCTTGAATCCACCTTAGTATCTTGTTAGGCTTCCGAAAGACGAATCACCGATTTGCGTATGACGATGCCGTAGGCTCCGCAACGAAGGAGTCCATCTTTTGCTCGGAGGAGGTCTGTTACCTCTCCCGCTAACCCAAATTCATAGGATGGCCCCTTGTCATTCCAGCACTCATGTTCTACCGTGTGGATTCTGACCGGAGGGATCAACTTCGCATCCATTCGTCCCTTCTGGTGATCACTAAAGGCAAATGCCAGATGAAATTCCTGGCAGGTCCTTTTGATCAGGCGGTTTTCTTCTTCTGTTAAAAACGCGTCTATCCCTATCTTCATTGTGTCTGCTACCTCATCTGGTATCCGATGTCCCTGCGTCGCCCTTCTTTCTCGGATCACTCGAAGGACCTCTTCCTCCTTCTCCATAGCCTCTTCCTTTGATGTCTCTAGCAGGATCGAGACCGGTTTTGCTTTCTTCCCTACCGGCTTGTACTTTCAAACACTTCCTTCCGGGATCTTTCTCCTAAAAAATGAACAGCCGGAATTGCCCCCGTCGCCTCTATGACTCGTGGTTGAATACTTACTAATTTCCCATTCAGGCAATATCCCTTTTGCACCTCTCTTTCGAACTTGGCCAAGGTTGCCGAATCCATTCCTACCTTGTGGTATCTGAGGGCCTTGATGAGTTGCAATAGATCGGGGATCTCGAGTGCAATTTCCGACACGTCTATGCGTACTTCTTTCCGTTTGGGCAGGCTAGCACCAAGTTCGACCTCTGACTCTCTTTCCGCTACCATAACACCTAGGACTTCGTCCTCCTGCCTGCTCTTCTTCTGGGGCAGGCCCATCTTGATCCACTTCTTTTTGTTGAATGCTTCCTCAATCATGATTTCTACCCTTTCTCTCATATCCTCCATCTGTGCGAAAGCCCCTTTCCGCGTGCTATCCTCGAACGACGGCGACCATGTTGTCAATTTCCCCTTCGGGGGTCTCCTCCCGTTCCAAGGAGTCGAAGGAGTTCTCCCCGGCCGGTCACAGGGTCCTCTATGTCTACCATGTACGAGCCATCGTGCAAGTGCATGCCTATCATCTCTACGTTCGCGCACCATGGTCTCCCGAGGATTATGTCGTGGTCCATTTCCTCCATTACGGTCATCCGCTGAAACGACCTGATCGATTCACTGATCCCTGCCTTCACAGCACACTTCGTGACGTACCCAGCGAACGGGATTTCCCCGCCAGCTCCCCGGACACTCCCTGTTACTTCCTTGTTTACCATACATCCAGTGATCGTTGCGAAATCTCTCCTTATGAGAGTGATTTCTGCTCCCCCGTCTACTAATGCGTCGGTGTGATGACTCCTGATCTGGATTTTCAATTTCCCTACGGGTAGTGCATGAAAGCTAAGCTTTGTCCCGGGAGGTGACCTCATGACCTCGCCGCCCTCTCGAATGTCCGCAAAAGCTTTCTCGAGATCCTCCAAGTTCCCGCGACTCCTCTGAAGGTTAGCTACTTCTTGCGGAGCTTCCTCCTCATTCTCCCCTTCAGGTAGTTCGGGGTTGTCGCCTATTTCTACTCACCGCCGAGTCAACAGTTGTCTAAGCCCTTTGAGCAACCTAGGGCTAGCCTGCAGCATAGTCTGAAAAGACACCGACACCATGGTCCCTAGTAACTTGCTAATGGTGTCATCGATCTCGGGTAAGGATAAGATTGGGATTTGGTACTTAAACTTCTTCTTGGCAGCGGAAACTTTGTTTGTAGGCTCCTCTTCCCTAGGTTTCCCACAGACCTTTTCCGGTTCCTCGGCCTCAGGCTCTGCCTGGGGTTCCGAACTTCCAGCAACCTCCTCCATCACGGTGTCACGGTAAATCCTTCTCCCAACCATCCCTAGTCGAGTAGTCGCGTTCACCCTATCATGTCCGTCGTTTTCCAAAATGAAATTGACCTGCGGCCCGCGCCCCTGGCGTTGATCCCAGATGATCTCGCCTATCGGTTCGGGTTCTACGGCTGTTATTTTTAGCCCGTTGAGCATGATAATGGCTCGCCGCATCCCTCCTGGTGAGTTCCAGTTCACCCGTTCCCCTTGTGGTCCAAATATCTCCCCCTTTAATGACCTGGTACACCTTCTTTTTAGAATATCATGGTTGAGTTTTGGGCACGCGCGCACATAATGTCATATCGCGGTACAGTACTTGCATTGCTCGTTAGCGGGATCTCTCCGTTTGAATCCACGATTGGCCACCCCTGGCGGAACTACTGCTTCCTGGGGCGGGAGGGGGGGACGGGATACTTGCGCCTGCATAACTAGTAACGCGATCTCCATCCTTTCAATCTTGTTGTCGACTCCGTGCACCCGTTCGTATAGACTTTCAATCCCCTTTTTCACCTTGTCGCCCGTCCTAGTGGTCAAGTCTATAGTCTCCCCTTCCTTCAGCAAGGCCAATGTCTCGGTCACTACCGTCTTTTCGGCCAGATCCGTTACCGTACTGAAATCAACGTCCCTGGTGTTTACAAATTTGCTCGTTTGTTGGTAAGCCGACAGGATCTTGTCTTTGTCGAACTCGGAGAACTGTCTGAGGAAATACTTACTCATTATTCGAACCGTAACCCCGGGGATTCTTAGTACTACCAAAGTAAACTTTCGTAAGAAATCATTGTACGTTGCGAAGTTCTTCCTCTGGACTGCCGCTGAATCGGCCTCCGTTGCCACCTTCTCTGCTGCCAGATACTTTCTCATCATCACATCCCGGGTTTCTTTCCAAGACCGGCTTGCGGCTATGATGGCCATTATGTCCCGTCCTAGGCTCAAAGGCACATGTTGTCCCAGGTGGTCCATCTTCTCTTCTTCGGTCCATTTCAACAGCGCAGCAAGGTTCTCGTAATCTATCAGGAATTGTGTGATGTTCGCCCTATCAAACGTCAACTTCTTCTTAGCATCCGCTAGGTAGCCTTGATTTTTGTTTAGTGTTCGCGCGAGGGACGACACTATCTTATTAAGGCCGCCCTTGGAGCTGCTGGCCTCGCCTGTCACACTGTTATCCGGACCTTCCTTGCCGGTCTTCTGTCCCTCCCTGGTTTTCGTAGTTCCTTCTGGGTCAAACCATCCCAACACTCTTTCCCTAAGGCTACAGAGTCCTTCGCACCCTCGCGTCACTGCTGGCGCGGTCGGCAGGCGGTTAGCCCTACTATCTATGGCTGGCGGGGTCGTAGCCTTTTCCGCGTCCATCCTCGGAGAGTTCTCCCCTTCTTTCCTTCTTTTGCTCGGCGTTCCCCCACGGTCACTACCTTTATCCCCTTGTCCAGTCGCACCTCGGCCGGTTCTCCGTTCGTCCCGGGGTTCCTCGTGCAGAGAACCTTCTTCGTTCCCAGTCATCATTTCCTCAATCAATCTCGCCTTGTATTCTGCGGTCCTTTTGTCTATCTCGGCTAGTCTGCGCCTCGTATCCGTGACTCTTACTTTCTTAGACACGGCTCCCTCCGAGTTCCCGGGTCCTATCCTTATTCATGCCTTCCTTGGTCCCCTGAGTCCCCTGCCTGCTTCCCCCAACTTTCCCCGAGCTTTCCCCTGTGGAGATCTTCTTCCGGTTCCCTTTGGTACCATCCGGATTTATCGATTCTCTGTCCTTCTGCCCCCCTTCGCTTTGTGCGGCACTGCCTCCTAAGCCCGGTTCTTCTTCACTCTTATGATTATCTGTCTCCTCCTCCGTTGCCATTACGCCTAGTTCTGCATAAGCCAAAGAATTCCCAGGACAAACGCAATACGAGGTATTTTAGGTTTCCTAGGCTCCCAACCCTGTTGGCTTATCTGTATAGCCTCCTTTCCCATCCTCATTTCCTGATTGCCCTTCCTTAAGGAGGAGTCACGACTGGCCCTGCCGCTCAGCCGAGCTATGAGCGTGACTTGGCTTCCTTTATCACGAGCCTGTTTGTCGTGCCCTTGTCCTGTCGGGCCGATGCGAGGGAGTCCGGGTTAGGCATTCTGCTAGGGAAAGTTTTTCCAAGCAGTGTTTCCTGATTTTGACCTTCAGGGTTATGGTCAATCGTTAGGAGTCTACCCCCTTCTTTGTTTTCCTAATGTGTTTTAGCCATCCGGGTCCGAGGCCCCTTTCTTATTCCCATCGGCGGATTTCCGTACGCAACGAACTATACTGGATCTGCCCTATTGGCCTGCCTGCGGATCCTAGTCCCGCTCGCGCCCTCGTGGTTCTTCAGATTCGGTCGGCTCCTCGAATAGCTCGGCCACCCCTGCCAAATAGCTCTCTCTTATCTCGATTTCCCTTTGGATTATGCGTTCGTGCACTGTCTGGTCTAGCCAGGGCGCACGAAATATCAGGATATGGATTACCTCCAGTAACTCATGGGCCCTGTTTCCCCAGAACGGCCCATGCCTCATGGCAACATCATAGAACATCCCGATTGTTAGAGAGGGAAAGTGGTCTGCCCACATTATTGCCGAGTGTGCCAGCTCTCGCGCCCTTGCGAGGCTCCCAAAGACGAGATCTATCATAAAACAGGGGACCCGGCACCTCAACGGTGTGGTTGGTGCTCTGAATTCACGTCATCCCCTCATTTCCACCCGGGTAAGTAAGCCCACGTTCCTTCTACCCCTGACCGATTGTCCTATCCGGGTCAACGTCCGGGCGGCCCTTTGAAAAATCGGCGCCAGCTCGTGACCTTGTGCTATCTCTACCCCCAGCGAGTGTCAGCCGATCTCAGGCAGATACATGGTCTCGGTAACTTCCAGATTGGAAAACAGATCGTCCCCGGGTCCTCGGTCGAATCTCATCCCTGTCCACCGACATTCTACCAACATAAAGGCGGCGTCCCTCCCCAAAGTCACAGCCCGCCATTCTATATCGAACCCCCGATAAGTTGAACTCGACGGGAGGGGTACTTCCCAGCGTCCACCGTTATTCCACGGCGGTCCGGGGTACCGGGGTTGGCGCGCCATTCGCACACGGGGCTGAAGTTCCATATGCTCACGTCTTGCAGCCATGGTAACCTTGGTGATTTCCTGCATGATCCACATAGAAAGTGTTACAACCAATCCTTAGAAACCGTCCACCTACTCTCCCCTTGTCCTTCGTGTTTTTATTTCCCTTTCTAGTCCCAACTACCCCTCTATACCCCAGGGAGCAGTAGCCTCCTCGGGCTGTTCATACAGCCGGTAAAGATCATCTATGTAGGTCGCGCCCCGATCTACCTCTCGCCGGATGAATCTCCACATGGTCTCATCACTTATTTACGGGACTCCTGGCCTAGTATTCATCGCTGCTCGTAGAATGCAAAGCACCTCGCCCCCTTGTTCGTCCCCGAAAGGCCCCATCTCTAGAAAGGCCCGATAGTACTCTCGATACATTATCGCTTCGTCAAAATTTAGCCTACTTACGGCAGTTACCGCCTGCTCCACTCGTTCTATGCCTTCCATTCGTCTTAGCAGGAAGGGCGGCAGACTCATCCGTACGATCTCATTTGGCAACTCAAAGACCCCTGCTGCGGCAACTTTTACCTCAGCCATCACGTCATCTCGTTTCGGATCTGCAAACTCAAACCCCTCACGCCAGGTTATTTGTCATGCTCCTTCGAACATTCGCACGGGGTCATCCCCGAAAGCCAAAGCAGTCCCAAAGGTCCGCCATCCCTCTTCTGACAGGTGTAAGGATCCTGTCGCGTGTACACGCCCTGGGCGGTTCAAATCTACGCCCCCGAACTCTCCTCTCGCCCGCCATTCTAGCTTCACTACTAGGTACACCGTATCTTCCACCAACTCTACCCCTACCCAGTCCATTACCGGATTGCCTACCGTATTTCTCGCTGGCAGGCTTATTTCGACCCTGCCCTCTGATATTCTTGGTGGCAGGATCCCACGAGGTCTATCCGCCCAAAACGTCATTCGCCGGGTCATCTCGCAATGTCTTCTTTCCTGCTTTCTTAGTCCGATCGCTGCACCCACCGAGATTCCATGCCTTTCGTGTTTTAGTCTTTCAACCCTCCCTATTTAGCGTACACTGGTTCCTGCCCCTATCCCCAACTCATACACGTTTAATTCTACCCGACCCCCATTTTCCAGTTGCTGTCACTTCCCCCTTGTTTTGATCCTTATGCACCATTCATGGCCTAATGTACACATTCCCTTTCTTATGTTACACCTTACTTCACAAACACCCTCCACACTCAGGCCTTTTCGCTGTGCTTGATTCCTTGGCCTCATTCAGTCGAACCACAGTACCTCAAATAGTTTAAAAACGTCGTCTACGTAGGAGGGTGCAGCCGCCGCCTCCCGGCTAACTATGGCATCCCAAGACTCTGCCTCTACCTGCCTATTCTTCGGACGATGATGACTTCCTCGGCTTTATCCCCATTGAAGGGCTCATATTTCAATGAGAGCCTATAGAACTCCTCAGTCAACCAGGCACACTCTATATGCACCTTTCTCATGGAGTCGGCTACTTCTAAAATGTGCTCAAACCCCCCAAACCACTCGGCTATGAATTTCGGTACCCAAGCCGTTATCCGTAGACTTGGGGGTTTGAGTTCCTTCCATCCTCCCATCACAACTCTGCTACTAACTTCGTCCCATCCCTCGTTGGCGAACAGCTTGCCTTCCTCTCGGGTTCGGGCCTCTGCATCCCCTAGAAGCCACATCGGGTCCTGTCCCATTGCTAACATGGTGCAAAACAGGTGTCATCCATCCTCGGAAAGGACAATCGTTCCAACTGACTCTACCTTGCCTTCTGCTATATCATCCCAACCTTCCTCTTCCCTTATCGGGTTCCAAATCCGCTCTATCCATACATATGGCAAGTCCCGGGCAACCTCAAACCCAATCCAATCGCACGTGGTCCCTCTCCATCCGTTCCCTGTTGGTATAGGCATGTCTATTCCTCCTCTGAGTCGCCGTGGTTCCCAGCCTTTGAAGGGGTATTCCATCATCCTTTCTTCTCTAGTCATCTTTTTCCCTTTCCTGCACAATACCAGAACACCCGTCCTCCCTAAGTTAAGTCACCCTACCCCTCTTAGAAGTCCCAGTCCTCTATCTCTTCATCTTCATCTTCATCACTGAAGTCGTCCTCCTCGTCGTACACCAACTCCCTGACCCCATCTAGGAACGTCTCCCCTATTGCCACATTCCTGTAGACTATCCCCCAATGCACAGCGCTAGGAACAAAGATATTGTCTATGCTAAGACAGTTTAGTAGCTCGGCGAGCTCGTCCGCCCAGTTCCCCTCGAACGGCCCCATCTCTACCGATAACCGAAAAAAATATTGCCTAGCGTATTTGTGTAGCCCGAGGTTCGTCATGGACTGGCATATCCGTACTAGCCTGCTCCGCGTTCCAAAAACTGCATCCACTAGGAAGGGGGGCAACACACATCGCATGGTTCTTACGGGTCGCCTCATGCTTCCCCTATCCCCAAGTTCCACTCGCACGTCTACCTTTTCCATTTCCATTTCCCGCCGCTGACATGCAGCCCACACAACCTCTGCTTCTGCCTTCCTAAACAATTCGTCCGGCGTATTCCCGAGTGCCAACTCTATGATCATAGCCCTCTCCCCACCTTGCGACAAGTAGACCCACCCCCGGGCTTCCACTGTCCCTCGGAATTCCAAATCCATTAAACTTGGTAACAACCTCGTCAAGCTGACATTAGTCCATATTGTTTCTATCCAAAGGAAAGTATCCTCTCTTTCCAGCATTACCGTTTGATACGCTGGTTCAAGGTCCGTCCATGTTCCATTTTCCGAGAGGACGACCGATACCCCATCCTTTACGTCTACTGGCATCTCTGGACCGCTGGTATAAGTCGGGGGAGACAACCATCGCGTCATCTTGTTTCCGGCACCCGGCCCCTGTTTTCATGAAAAAATACCAAACGGTTCTTCTGGTCAGGCCAACCCCTTTTCCTAAATGAGGATTATTTCAGACCCCCCATTAAGGTCTCCCTAATTTACCTTCCCATTCCTAAGCACCTTTTTTTCCATAATTTTCTTGGTCGGTCATCCATTTGCCCACATTCTTTCTCTTGGTTCCATTCCAATTGACCTCTATCCTTCTTCCTTCCGATCATCTCTCACTCGTGTGGACTTAGAAGGGAGGGGGAATAGACTTAGAAGAATACCCGTCCAACAACCCACGCTCAATCAATCTTTACGGGGGAGGGTACAAAAAAAATCAGGCTATCTCACGTACGGGCCGTTCATCTCCTCACCGACCATCCCAATATGGTCTCTCCGCTGGTACTATCGGTAGGGTTTTATCCCATACCTCAAGCACAACTCAACCGTCGCGAGCGCGGTACCCAGGTCTCAGCAAGGCTTTCACCCTTTCCTCCTTACCCAGAATACCTCATCCCGACTTGCCGCTCGTGTACCCACCGTTAATCTCGGGAATCACCCCGCACATCTCGGTAGGGCCATTTGAGTCAGCCGTC